CTGCTTTCTTGCTTACTGTCTGTAACTTGCATATTTTGAATCAGGAAGGAATTTTACTGATTTTAGATTGGGCAATGACCTGGGATCTCAACACATATTTGATTCTTCCACTAGAAACTTCACCTGTTAAAGTACTGCATCCTACAAAAGGAATAAAAGTTATGTGGCTTCAATTTATGGTCTCCACATAAAGTAAATCTTTTGTATTAGCATAGTCTCTTTTTGAGGAACCCAAATTCTAATATCAATGAACATTTGTCCTAGGTGCTTAGTACCGCTGAAGTTCATGTGTGGCATATTGTTTAGTGCATTCACCAAATCACATTTGCAGTTTGAATGACTCACTTTATGCCCATGAATTCCTTGAAGGCCCCACAAGTTTGCAAATGATGCATTAAAAATAGGTTTTGGAGAATGCTTGCACTGTCTATACATCTAAATCTGAAAATGGCCCCAGGATACAGATCCAAAAATCTATACAATAAATGCAGGTACAAGAAGGAGAACCTTGGGAAACTATCAGGTTTGCAGAAAAGTCTTATTTTTACAGAAACAAAGAGCAGGGTAAAATACAATTTAAAAGTTTTATCTCATGAGATCTTGGGAATGATTTTCGATTACCCAAGCAACTGCAGACAATGTCACTGATGTTGGCTCCTGCAGTTTCATTTTGAAACTCACGGGGAATTGAGGGTGGGGAGAAAAGATCTGGGTAAGCAGGAAAGACCAGAAGAAAGACTGGGGGGGGGGGGGGGGGGAAAAAAATTTGGAAAAAAAGCTGAAGTGGATGGGTGGAGGGAATAAAAATGAAACAAAAGAGGGGAAAGTGGGAACAGAGAGAAGCTTTGAAGAAGAGTAAAGAAAAGGACTGGAGGGGAAAGGGGCAGATGAGAGCAGACTAAGAAAGGTAGGTTGGAAGAAAAGAAAGAAGCTGCAGGGGCTGGGAGGGGGCAGAGACAGCACGGGGAGGAGGGACAGTCCTCACAGGTCCTCCACTTATATTCATTATTCAAACGTTCACTCTCCATGTAGAAGAAGCAGAAGAATACAGATCTTGCTGGACACAATAAGTCCAATTCATACAAATAGTTCTGTGTAGGTCAGCAGAGGCCTCTGCACAGTAGTTTGCAGTGTTCCCTCTAAGCTGAGTCAGTGCAAGCTAGCTCACAGTTTCTTAGCCTCCAGCTCACACATTCTTGTCTTTGCTCAGGAGGGATGGCTCCAGAGCAAACTAATTTATGCAGCAGCCCAATCGCTGGCTCACAACTTTAACGCCAACAGCTCACATAGTAGAATTTTTGCTCACAGGACTCCACAGCTTAGAGGGAGCATTGGTTTACACTATTCATAACGAATGCTTTTCATTCCTTTTAGAATGCTACAAGAGGGCACCCGCAACAAAATGCTGCGTACTGTGTTGTGGCTTGGTTTAACTTGTAATTGCAGTGTAGGTTTTGTGTACTGTCAGTCTCCCCTACACAGTGTTATTCCTTCTCTCTGTTTGTCTGTCCCCTAAGCCTGAGGAAGGCGCGAGGCAACCAGAGCATTATTCTTGTCAGGAGCAGTGAAAAACCTGGAGTCTTGCCGCTACTCCCCCAACACTGCTGTCCGGTGACATTGACTAAATGTATATATTCCTTCTCATGAGACAGAGTGGGGACCAAGGTGGGGTATAAGCAAGTTCTTATAGTAGTATGAAGAAGTCGTTCCTTCTGAAGCCATGTAAGAAATTGGCCTCCATTGCCAAACTTGTTGCAGTGAGTTCCATAAGTTCACCGTATGTTATGCTACGGTTTTTTTCTTGGCAGATCCTAATTTTATTCTGCAACCATCAAGTCACAGGCAACTTATGGCAACCCTGTGGGTTTCCTAGGCAAGAGACTAACAAAGCTGGGGACCATCCTTCACACGGCAACCCTTGATTTCCTTGGTGGTCTCCCATCCAAGTACTAACAAAGGCAGACCCTGCTTAGCTCCAGCAGTCTTACAGCTGTTTAAAGGCAGAGCTATCTCAATGGGTAGGGAGGTGGGGAGAGCAGCAAGGTTGGGGGGAGGGGTGTGCCAAAGGTGGGGGGACAGGTGGGAAGAGAGCAAGGGCGGGGGTGAGTGAATGCCAAGGATAGGTGGGCAGTGGAGTGCCAAGGGTGGGGGGTAGATAGGGAGAGCACCAAAGGTGGGGTTACTGGAGTGCCAAGGACGGGGGGGGGATAGGTGGGGAGAGCAGCAAGGCTTGTGAAGCGGC